GGAAATTACCTATAATTTCAATGTTATTAAATTCACATACAGTACCATTATAATTAATTACAGTGTCATTACAACCTTCAAAAGCATATCTAGAAATAGATGTAATTGTGTTAGGCAAATCAACAACAGCAACATTTGTTCTAGAGAACATACCTTCTGGTATAACACTTACACCACTACCAACTTTAATATGTTGCCACTTGTTAGTTTGATATTTAACTGGATTTCCCATTGCAAATGTACCAATACCTATATTTGTAACTGAATTTGGAATAATCAATTCTGTAATATTAGGTAATTCAGCAAACATTTGTCTGCCAATTTCTTTAATTCCATTTGTTAATGTAACTGAAGTTAAGTTATAACAATTTCTGAATGCATCATATCCAACAGATTGAATTGTACTTGGTAATACAATAGAAGTAATGATAGAATTATTCATTGCAACTTCTTCTTTAATACAAGTAACACCTTCTGGTACAACTACATTAGGTTTAGCATAAGCAAAACCAACTAAACAACCATCATCAATTAAGCAACCATCTTTAATTTCAATATTGTTTGCTTGGAAATTATCATAATACATTGGATATTTAGTTCTATATTGTTCAATATATGCTTCTGGAACAAATATCTTAAGACTATCTTTTGCAGTTCCAAATACATCAATACCACTAAAATTCACAACACCATTATATTTAAGAACAACAGTTTGAAGATTTCTACAATTCCAAAATGCACTTGCACCAATATTAGAAACAGATTCTGGTAATTCTATATATGATAAACTATTACAATACTCACACATTCCACTTGGAATACTTGTTATTTGATTAGATATAGTTAATGAATTTAAAGAATCACATTCAAAGAATGCTGCTGTACCTATAGATGTTACAGAGTTAGGCATATTGAATGATGTTAATGCTGAAAGACTATTAAATGCCCAAGCACCAATGGTTGTAAGATTGTCAGAAACAGTAATTGATGACAAATTAATACAATTTGTAAATGCACCAGTGCCAATTTCTATAACATTTGGTAAAGACACCTCTGTTAAACCAGAACAACCATCAATGAAACTTGATGGTATAGAAGTCAAACCACCAAAATTAATTTTTTTAAGTTTTTTATTATTTCCAAAACAATATTCACCAAATGATATTTCATTTGCATTGTTTGGTAAAACTAACTCGACTAATGTTGGTTTCAAAAAATGCTTTATCACCTATTCTTTTAACAGTTCTTGGAATTGATAAAGTTCCAGTTATAGGACAATTCAAAAATGCTTTTGCACCAATTTGTTCAATTGAATTTCCAAATGTGACAGATGTTAAATTGAAGTTATGTACAAAAGCACTATTATCTATTATTTTTAAACTATCTGGAAATTCAATATGTTCCAATGATGCTGAATCAAAAGCATATTTTCCAATTTTTTCAATTGAGTTTCCAAAAGAAACTTCTTTGAGTGCAGATAATTTACCAATAAGATGACTAGACTGATAACCAAATGTCCAATCACCAATTGTTTTTGTCAAATTTCCAATTGTAACACTTGAAAGAGTGTGTATAGTTTCATAAAAAATATCCTCTGTTAAATCTAATGGTGAATTCCAAACTAAATTTTTAATACCAATTGGTGATCTAAATTTATCTGTAAATGCATTACTACCAATACTTATTACACTCTCTGGTATGGTTAATGAGGAAAGTCTAGAACAATGCCAAAATGCTTCTTTACCTATTGTTGTAACTGAATTAGGTATTGTAACTGAACTTAAATGAGTATTTCCTGCAAAAGCACCAGTTCCAATATTTGTTGTACATTCATTGATTACAACATCTGTAAATGCTAATTTTGGGTCACAACTTTGATAAGTTGATTTTTCATAATAATCATTATCTTTATCAACCCAAACAGAATTTACATAATTTGGTATTTTATCATCTGATAATGTAATATTATAGTTTTTACCACCTACATTTGTAATATTTAATAAGCATTTTGTACAACCACATTCTTTTGTACATTCTTCTAATAAGTCTGCTTCATATCTATCTGTAGGTGTCCAATTAATATTATCAGTAGATGTATATATCTGATATAATTTATATTTACTATTCTCTGGCATATGAAATTTATATTTTAATAATATATAAAAAACAATAAAAGAAGGTCTTGTATTGACCTTCTTTTTATTTAATCATATATTTTATCTCCATCTGTACAATGAACTGTAAATGGAAAATATGTATTATATCTCCAATTCATACCTTTTTGTATTGCATCCCATTGTGCTATTGTTCCAGCATATGTTATTGATGCTAGACTTCTACAATTTGCAAATGCTTGCCTACCAATATTAGTAACACTCTCTGGTATGGTTAATGAGGTAAGACTAGTACAACTATTGAATGAATCATCACCAATACTAGTAACAGTGTTTGGTATTGTTACTGAGGTAAGACTAGGACAATAAGCAAATAAACCATCCACAATTCTTTCAAAACTAGTTGGAACAACTATAGAAGTTAAACCAGAACAACTATTGAATGCACTATCACCAATATTTGTAACACTGTTTGGTATTGTAATTGATGAAATACTTGAACAATTAAAAAATGCATCCTCACCAATGCTAGTAATGCTATTTGGTATATTTATTGAAGTAATATTTGTACAACTCCAGAATGCTCTATCACCAATACTTGTAACACAATCACCAAGTTCTACTTTGCTAATGTTTGAATTGGCATATTTCCATTCATTAGGTATTTCAGACACTTCATATGTATTAACACTACCATTATTTAAATATATTTTTGTTTCACATTCACCAGTTGGTGTTGGTATTGGTTCTGTTTTAGCCAATTGAACAATTGTATATGTTGATTTTAATGATTTCCATTGAAAATACCCACTATATTCAATAGGTTTGTTTGTATTATTTTCAGACATTGTAATAGTCTTACTTTCTGTATAAGATACTTCATCTACTGATGGTTTATAACAGTAATTATGTGTTGTAATTCCACTAAAATTCACAGTGTAAGATGTTGTATCCCAACTAACATATTCTGTATTACCAAGGGGATAAACACTATAAATATCTGTAACACAATCACCAGTTGGTGTTGTATCATTTACTTTTGTGTTAGGTGGTAATTCTTCATAACATCTTTCATCAACATATTCTCTCTTTGTATATATAATAATCTCTGGTTTAACATCTTGAATTATTTCATATATACCAATGACATTATTAAAAGTATATGTACCCTTGTTTACTTTAGTATTTGTTGTTGATTGATTCTCACTGAATGTAATTGTTTCTTCATTAGTATAAGTTACTGAAGATGTAGTAGAACCATCACTATAATGATAAATTGTAATACCATTATAGTTAAAAGTGTATGAAGTTTGATTCCAAGGTACATTATCTGTTATTTCAGATGGAACTAATTCAAAAGTAATTGAAGTAATTATCTTATCATCAACAATATCTGTACCTTCTGGTAATTCATTATAACATTTATCACCAACTAATACTTCTTTTTCATATTCACTTGGAGTAGGTGGTAAAGGTCCAGAACCTTTTTTCAATTGTGTTATGGTATAATCACCTTCAACACCATTGTATGCATATTTGCCACCATAATATTTATCTTGTGTTGTTGAAGTGTTTCACTGAATGTTACAGTTTTTTCTTTCAGTATATGTTACTGCTGATGTGAATGTTCCATCACTCCAAGCACTAACAGTAATACCACTCCAATTGAATGTATAAGAAGTTGCTTCTGCTGCAACTGTTGCTGAAGTTGATGGTGGATATATTTCATAGTATGTACCAATCAATTGTTTACCACTTTCATTTGGTAATTGAATATAAGTGAACTTATCTAATTGGTCATAGAATGTTTGTTGTTTATCAAAATTCTGATTTTCTGCTGTCTGATTTGGATTGAATGTATATATTTCACTCCAAGTTGTTTCATTAACTTTAGTAGTACCATCTTCATATACATAAGTTGTAACACCAGTGAAATAGGCTGTTCTTGTACCACCAGTAGATGGGATTATCTGTTCTCCCCAATCAGATATAAGCCTATAAATTATATTTGTAATTGGTTTATCAGTTGGAATAGGTATTGAATGACCAACAGACTTAGGTTCATAATCAGATTCACAAGTAAGAACTACAGTATATTTGTTAGCATCCTTTGGATTTGAACCAGTTTGCATTGAATACTGTTCTGTATAAACTGGATTATCAATTCCAAATATCCAATTGTTGCCATTATTATCTTCAATCATAGCAATCATTGGATTAAGTAACAATCTATCAAGATAGAAACTCTTTTCTCCACTCATCTTTGGAAAACTTAAGTTAATTGTAGTCTTGAAGAATTTCAAATCATTATCCAAATCTATGTTTGCTGTAGTTGAAAATGATGCTGCACCTTTTCTTTGATAGAACTCACTGAAAGATATGTATTCACTGAAACCTGTAACAGTATAATCACTTGGACTATATTTAACTGCTCCATCTTGATAAGGTGATAAATATACTTTAGCAATACCACCTTTAGATGTATCACAGTCTTTGGCTATGCCATATATGCTTCTTGGACAAGGCATTTTATATAAAAGATATTTTAGTTTTTTCTAATACAAATATATAAAAAATATTTTAAAAAAAGAAATATATTAATATATTTATATTATAATTATTATTATTAAATATTATATATATTAAATATATCATATATTATAATATATCCGATATATTAATATTATTATATATATTATACTAAATATTATTATAATTATATTTTAATATTATATAAAAAAATATATTATAGAATTTTGTTTTATAAAATATTTTTTATATATTTGTAATGTAAAAAGATATTTTATTTTGTTTAATTAGTGTTTAATAATAAATAGTTATAAAACCAACTAGTTTTTTGGTTTTTTCTAGTTGGTTTTATATTTATTATAACTCGGAGCAATCATCAGGTACTCCAAATGTCACATTTACATAAGCACCTGCTGTAAGACTTTGAAACTTCTCTTGGAATGTATTGAATGTGTAGTTGTTTACAACAATCAATTGTGTAGTCTCTTCCAACTCTTGTACTAAATAATGTAGCAATTGAATTCCTAAACTCTGGGCATCTATCTCATCTTTCTTGTCCTCAGTTAGTCTATCTGCATAGAATAGATTGAATGAATAATACATTATTTGATTCTGAGTATCATAATAGTGTTGGTTTTGTGTAATTCCAAATACACTATATTCAACATTTTGCATACTATTCAATTCATATATATCATTCAAAACTACTGTACCAATGTTTGGCAATTCTTTTGCCTTGTGTACAATTGTATGTATAATAGTATTTAAAGTTATCATAGTTCAATTAGTTTAATGGTTTTATTGTCCAATTATAATATCCTAGGTATGCTAATTCAGCATCTAAATATCTATTTGAAACATAATTATTAATATTTGGAACATAAATAACACCATCTGTACCAATTTCAGTAAATGTGTTGTGATAAATGGTTGGTGCATTTTCAGATGTAAATATTAATGTTTTCAAATTAACATCACCATTAAATACCAAACCAAAAATCTTCATATTACTACCACTATTTATTGTAACAGATGTTAATGAAGTACAATTTTCAAAAGCATTAGTTCCAATTCCAACTACTGATTGTGGAATGTTAATTTCTTTCAATGATGAACAATTTGAGAATGCATCCAATTTTATTTCAGTTATACCATTTTCAATTGTTACACTTGACAATGAAGTACAATCTTGGAATGTTGAATTGTCAATATAACCAATACTTGAAGGAATGTAAATTTCTTTCAAAGATGAACATTTATTGAATGCACCATTAGATAAATAAGATAATGTATTTGGTATAATAGCAAATTCCATATTTACACAACCAGCAAATGGTTGATATTTTGTATTTTGAACTTTTGTACCAATAATAATACCTTTTACTTTTGGTCTATCATCACTTGAAATTGATTGCCCATTAATTTCAGTCCAATTGTGAACTGTCATTACTCTAGAATCATTCCAATAAATTATTGTGTCACCATCATTTGCTTTCTTTAATTGAAAGCAGTGGTATCAACGCAGAGTACTATTCCAACTGATTGAACCTTCAATTGTCCTTTCATCACCAAGAACATCTTTACCAATATATACATTCTGTGTTAAATATTGATTAGATATGTCAGTTGTTCCATCTTTATAATATGTAATGGTTTTTCCAATATAGTTAATATCTACATTTGTTATATCCCAATTAACAACTTTTGGATAAACAACATTATCTACTTTATAACTTGTATTTATTACTGCTTTTGGATTTGCTTTTTGAATGTATTCATAAGGTATGTTCAAATTATTCCAAAGTACAAAACCATTAATGGTTATATCATCTGCACTTAAATTATATTCAGTACTTGAATATCCAACTTCATCAGATAATTCTCTTACATCTTCTTTTGTATATTGTTTAACAGTAATACCAACAAAATGAATTTGTACCAAAGATTCATTCCATTCAACAACTTTTGGATAAGTTACACCACTATATTCATAATAAACATTTAACAATATATTTTCTTTTGGTTTTTGTTTTGTCCAACATTGTTCATCATAAACCCTATAATAGTTCATCTTTGGATTATCAAAATCTTCATTTGCATCAAATGTTTCAGTTTGTGTAAATGAATTTACAACTTCATCAGTTGTTCCATCTAGATAATGATAAATTGTCTTTAATTTATAATTAAATGTAATTGAAGTTATATAAGATTCAACTTCTAATGGGTTTTCAATATCAAATACAATATGTTCAACATTTACAATATATTTAGGATTTGGGTGTTGAATTAAATCATATTCAAATTCATATCCATCTTCATCAATAATTCCTTGTATATTTCTATCTTCATTTGTATCATTTAAGCCACAATCAATTGTAAAACATTTGTTTTTAATAGTTTCATCTGTATGACCATCTTTGTAATAACAAGTTGTTAATGCAGTCAAACAAATCTCAAATGAAGCAACATCATAATTTAATTCACTTGGATAATTTGATTGGTAAGTTGTTTCACAATTAACAGGTTTGCCATCTTGAATAACATCAATTGGTATTTCATAACCACCATCTTCAACATCTTCTTTTATCTCCTTATCATCCTCTGAATCATTTGGTTCAACTGGAACTTCAATACAATTTGTAACTTTCTCATATGTCTTTGAACCATCATCCCAAGTATAGGTTGTTTGACCAGTATAGCATACAGTTATTGAAGTTGCATCATATGGAATTTCACTTGGATAATCTGTGTCTATTACTTCATATTCAGTATCAATAATCTCTGGTTGTTTCTGAATACCTTTTTGAACAACTTTATAAGTGATTTCAAAATTATCTTTAACTATCTTTCCAGTAATATCTTTATCTTTTCTAGAAATATTTTCTTCAACTTCAACATCTTCACAATATGTAGTTAATTCACTATCTTGTGAACCATCTGAATAATGATTTATAGTTTTACCAGTAAAACAAACTGTAAATGATGTTGTTTCAGCATCAATTTCTTTTGGATAATTTGTATTTACAACCTCATATGTTGTATCAATTACATATATATTTGCAAGTTGTTTAATTGAATATGGTATTTCTTGGTCTTTCCAAAACTCTATACCTTCAATCTCAATTGGGTTATCTGATATATTTACTGGAAATTCAATTTTAATACTACCATTTTCTACTTCAGTTTCTTCAATAAATCCATCATCATAGATTGAAACAGTTATACCAGTATAATTAATAGTTGCTGATGTTGCATTCCATTGTACAGTTTTAGGATAATTCACATCTTGTAAAATATATTTTGTATCTATTACAATTCCTTTATGTTCACCACTATGAGAATGATGACAATGGAAATGCCAAGGATAATATTTTCCTCTAGCACCACCCAACCAAATTGAAGTTGATGCTGCTGAATATAAGTTTGAATGAATCTCATCCAATTCTGCTTTACAAAGTTCTTTGTATTCTTTATGATTAGCCAACAGATATTCTTGGATTCTCTTTGTAAACTCATCAACTTTATTTTGATAGTATGCTTCTAATTTGAATGTATCTGATAGATTAACATTCTCCAAATTATCATCTTTAGATTGTGATACACCAAAATTATCAATATGGAAGTTAGAAACAACTATCAACTTGGTTAAAGTATTATAAGAAAGATATAACTGACATCTATCAAGCAATGATTTATATGAAACAAATCTTTCATCATCTATCAAATCATACTTAACGAGTTTGATAATCTTATTATATAATCTAGAACCAAGAATTTCTTCTAGGTCTAACTGTGCTTCTCTTATTGTTGAAATAAGATACTTAGATTGGACATTTGAACTAATATTAGTATTTGCTCTAACATTGTTTTCTGATATTAATAATATTTCTTGCATTTTACTTATCATTTATTACTTCATTATTAGTAGTTGCTGAATCATTCAATTTAATGTTGAATGGTTCTATTTTAATATTCAGTTCAAAATTCTTATTTAATATATTAACCAATTTCTTTTGAATTGGTAACACAACTGTTTTAGAGAATAATGCAAATGCTTCACCATAATCAGCATCATTAAAACCTCTATCATCTGGAGCAATACCTAAGATTTGTGCTGGTGCTCTAAATGCAAACAAAATCTGTTCTCTTGCCCATTTAACTGTATCAATGAACTTATTATGAACATTGTCTTCTGGAATTGCTTCTATTGTTGCTGAATGGTCTTTATCATTATTATAGGCAATAACTAATCTTCCACTATTCTCACTACCACAGAATTTCTCATTGAAATTCTTTTCTATCTCTTCTTTCAATTCATCATCTGGTACACCACCATTCAAATTGACAATATATGATGAACTAAAACCATTGATAATATTATTCAAGTTATAATCATTGATTCTCTTTTCCATTTCAACTGCCCTAGTTGCAGCACACCAAATTGGCAAACCATAAGTTTGTAAGTTTCCATTTTTAATGTATAGAATTGAACTTGGAATTACTGAATCAACTTCATATTTTGGATATTTTGTTGCTTTAACTCTTGACCATTTCTTATTCCATTCCTCTGAATAATAAAAATTCTCATTCTTCTTATCACTTCTTACATTTCTAACATCAAGTCTATATAAGGCACAAACAGAACCAAGTTTATTTCTTACAACATTGATTGCACAAGCACCATAAAGTGCAAAGTCCAATGCAATATACTTGAAGAAATCATCAAATGTATCTGTGTCATTAGCATATTCCCATTTTGATTGAATATTCTCACCACAAACATAATCAGTTAATGAATTGATTGCTGATTGAAGAGTTGGAGTATATAAGTACAAATCATAAATATAGTTTGGGTACATATTTGCATCACCATATTGAATGTACTCTTCACCTTTTAACTCTTTTTCTGTTGGATTAATAATTGTATCAAGTAAGAATGGGTCTCTAGCAGCAAAACTTAGTTTTACATTATTCTCCATACTGTTTTATTTTAGTTTCTTTTTCTTTATTTTCTATTGGTTTATTTATTACAACACCAATTCTGATTAAGCCATCTTCTTTGAGTTTCTTATCAGTTAATATGTATGTATATTCTCCATTTGGAATATCTGCAAAAGATAATCTGAAACAATAGAAGTTCTTATAATAAGCAATCTCTTGTTCAATTACTTTTGTATATTCTTGATTCTTCCCATTCTTTAAATATAAATATATTGGGAAATTCATATCTTCTAAAGTTTTTGGAAAAAATACATCATTTTCATTAAATTTATCTGTAATTTTTATCATTTATTAAAGATATTTCTGTAATATTATATAAAACTTCAATAAAAAGAGTACAAAAAAATGGAACAAGTTTTCTCAACTTGTTCCAGTGATTATATTATTATTAATCAAAACCTATGAATTATGCACATTCATTCTTTGGAGTAATAACAACTGAATCTGCAATAGCATATGGATATGTATTTGATTCATCAGTTAAAGTAAGAGTATAGTGGTTAGCATCAGATTTTGCAGTACCAGTTTCACCACCACCAGCAGTTGTGGTTACTGGTCTGTCAGCACCAAATGCCCATTTTATACCATTCTCATCTTCTACAACTACAAGCATATCTGCAAGTGCAAAAGCAGCCATTTCAATTCTCTTAACAGTTTCCATTTTGTTGAATACAACTGAAATCTCAGTTGAAACATAGTTTGTGCCATTTGCAGCATCAACATTTAATGTTGAAGTGAAAGAACCAGTGTTCTTTCTGATGAAATACTCATACCATTCAACACTTTCACTAATTGCAGTTACCTCACCATTTGAAACAGTGTAAGCATTATCCACAAAGTTAGCAATGTATAATTTCTTAATACCACCAATTGATGGAAGACAGTCTGCACACAAACCTTTAAGTATTGCTGAACAAGCCATATATTATTATATATTGTTTTATATTGAATTATTATTTAATTATGATAAGATAGGGTTTATTCAACCCTATCATTCATATTACTTTGCAATCTTACCAAGAACAATCATATCTGGGAATGCAACTTGAACACCAGCCATAAACTCAATTGCAAGTCTGAAGGTTCTGTTGTCTTGTGAATACCACATATCCCATTTCTCTTGATCATCACTTAAGTCACAACCATAGAACATATTGCTAAGTGAACCTGCTACAATGTAGTCAGCACCAACAGTATCATTAAGACCATTTACAGCAACAATCTTAACATTGGTCCCAGGGAGAACAGCCTCTAATGGTTTGTCATTTGCATCATAGTGATAAAGGTTAAGAGCAACAATCTCTTGTACATATGCTCTGAAGAGACCAGCACCAACAAAGATTACTAAGTCTTCTTTCATTTCACTCTCTGGAACATTAGCATATACTTCTTTGATTGCTTCATATGCTGAAGTACCAGCAGCCTTGTTTACAGCAATAGCACCATCTGCACCAAGAATCTTGATTAAACCATCAAATTCATTGCCATTAGTAGAATCACCTTGCCAAATCATTTTCTCTAATTTGTAGTTTACATTCTTTACAATCTCTGAAGTAAACTCTTGCTCATATGGAAGGGTTTTCTGACCAGCAGCAATCTTAACCATATGATTAGCATAAGTATCTAAGAAATTCTTATCACAGAACTCCATATTTACTTTCAAATATTTAGGAGTAAGGGTTCTCTTTGAAATCTCATTACTTCCCTCTGGGTCAAATGAGCAAGTTGAGCCATCACCAAATACAACATCAGTGTTTAAGATATGTAAATCAACTGGACCCTTTACACCACTCTGAAGAGTCAACATAGATGCAGTTTTAGCACCAAGTACAGTTTTTGCAATAAGTTGCTCTCTGGTTTCATCAACATAACCAGTAATAGCAGTTACAATAGGATTAGCCATATTATTAATTGTCTATTTATAAATTATTTATTATTATTTTAATTTGGATGCAATTTTCATAGCCTTATTAAGTTTGCTGTCAAATGCACTTTCTTTTTGAACACTAGCAAATTCTTCTACAATAGGAGTAACTGCTGGTTCATTTAATTTAGCAAGAATCTCTTCAATTTTTGCTTTCAATATTTCAATTTCATTCTTTAATACTTCAACCTCTGAAGGTGTTTCATCTTCAACTGAAGGCTCTTCTACTGTTGGTTCTTCTTCAACCACTTCATCCTCTTCAGTTGGTTCTTCAGTTGGCTCTTCTGTAGGCAATTCTTCATCTTCTTTTACCTCATCTTCTTTAGGTTCTTCTACTGGAGTTTCTTCAGTAGTTTCATCTTCTTTAGGTTCATCAACTGGTTCTTCTGTTGGTTCTTCTTCACTTGAAGCAACATCTTTGACTTCTTTTACAATTGAATTCTCAATTACATAAATCTTTTCATCAGTTGCATATTCACCATCTTCAATTGGTTCACCATCTTTGTCTTGAACTGTTGAATTAACAGTTAATTCATCACCTTCATAAAAGAGATTACCTTTGTCAGTCATAGTATTATTGAACTCCATCAAAAGTGATCTTAGTTTTTCTTTTAATGACTTCATAAAACTAGTCTTACTTTGTTTGCTAAAATATTCATTAGTCTCTTGAACTGTGAAGTAACCTTCTAAACTAAAACCTTGGAATGTGCCATTCTTGCACATATCCCAAAGAACTTCATTGTGAATTTTATAAGTACATAACAAAGAACCATCTGGTACATCAAAGTAATTTGGATTAATACCTTTTGATTCATCTTTAATGAATAATTCCACTAATGAAGCAGAACCTTCTTCAAGAATATTACCATTATGCATTAGGTCAACTTTATTATGTGTGCTATCTTGAAGCCACTTTTCAGCCATCAATTTGATAGTTTCTTTTGAATACTTTATATAATATTCATAACCATCTGGACTTATTCTGTAAATAGGAGTATCTGCAACCATAACTACACCACATAATATGTGTTCTTCTTCATTGGTAACAGCAAACTTTAATGCTTCTTCTTGTTTATTAAAAGCAACCCAATTTATTTCAGTTGCTGGATAATCTACAAGAGACATACACACAATACCATCTTCACTATTAGAGATTAATGCTTCATAAACTGGAAGTTTAATCATAGTTAATATGTATTTTAATAGTATATAAAATGTTATAAAATGTGTGATAAAAAAAATGACTGATTGTGAAAATCAGTCATTTAGTTATTTAGAATGTTGTAGTTGTTTGTCTTACCTTAACTTGTTTGTTTGAATCTTCTATATCACTTTGTAATATATATACTCTATTATCTTGTGATTCTTCATCATTATCAGTTCTAATATTAGGTTGTGACATCATATCTACATTTTCATCAAGTAATGGATTAGTTGCAACATTAGAGAATGAAACTGGATTTGCTTCTACTGTTGAAGAACCACCACCACCTTCAGCACCAGTTGAATCAAATGTTGTGGCATTGATTTGACGAATAGTTGCCATACCACTCATAATTGTTGCTGCATATTGTGCTGCTGCAAGTACTGGTCTTATCCACGCGGGTTGGAATGAATCTTCTTTAAGATATGCCATTGTAATACCAAGAGCACCACTTAACATATCAACAATTGCACCAGCCCTTTGCCAAGCCTTCATTGTATTGAATGATTCTTCTGCTGCTTTCTTTTTCTCTTCACTTGCATCTGCATCTGCTTGTGCATCTGCTGCATATAAATCAGCAATAGAACCAAAGATAGAACTCATTGAACCAAGTGCTTTATTGATAGTTCCTAATCTCTTGTTCCAAGTAAGTTTTTCTTCTTTTAATGCAAGTTTGTTATATTGCTTCTGAAGTCTTTGTTTTCTCTTTTCAAATTGCTCTGTTGATTCATATTGCTTTTGTTGCATTGTTTCCAACTCTGCTTGCATTTCCAACAGATGTTGATGTAAGTTTGTCAACTCTTCATCATAATGCAATTGAGCACCATCTTCTTGATCTGGATTCAAATAAGGGTCTTGTTCAATTAATCTTTGTTTTCTTAACTCAAAACCTGCTTCTTCATATGCATTTGCTGCATCTATCCATTTAACTTTAGCATCATATTTTCTTTGTTCAAACTGTTCAACAGTTTCAGTTTCCAATTGACCTAAAGCAACAATGTTTTCATATTCTTTTTGTGCTAATTCTTTCTTTAAACCAGCATTTAACAAATCTCTTTGGTAAGAATCTAAAGAATTTTGTTTAACAACATCATCAACACTTCTTATCTGTTCTTTTAATTGGTTAAGAGCCTTTTCTGCTTGCAATACATTTAAATCTTGAAGATTGATTTCCCAATCCTTTTTAAGAATTGCTAATTGTGCACCAATATCATCTACAGTAATACCAAATTGGTCTTCAAGTTTAACAAGAACTTCTTTAATTGTATTGAATGTACCTTCAAACAATTCTTCTTTATATGCATCACCTAATTGTTCTTTATATTTCTGTTTGAACTTCTCTAATACATCATCAATTTTAATTGGTAAACCTTCACCTTTTCCAACAGCATCTTCAAATGTCATTCTAATAACATTACCAATATCAAATGCATAACCTTTAAGTTGGTCTCCAGCAATTTGTGTTTTGTCAATATAAGTTTGAATTGTATTTTCAGTAACAGATGAATATTCTTTTGCTAATTTATCTGAAGTTAATTTATAGAATAATTCAAAATTATTATTGGTAAGTTTTAATGCATTATCATAAGATTTAATAACTGAATCTGATTTTCTTTTATTTGCTTCAATTTCAAGTTCAATTAATCTTTTCTGATGTTGTTGTTCAAGTGCTAAAAGTAAATCTTGTTTTTGTTTTTGAGTTGCTTTAGAAAGTTGAATTTCTTTCTTAGACTTTTCATATTCTGCTTGCAACTCTTTTTCTTGATAGAATTTATACAAATCAGAATTCTCAGAATATAATGATTTCTTGGTTTCATATAATTTTTTTTCATAACCAAGATGTTCAATTACCATTCTTTTTTGTTCTTCAAACTCTCTTTTCTGGTCTTGAATGTTTTTCTTAATCTGCTTATTATAGGCTGTATTGTTTTCAGAAATTTGTCTATCAATTTCAATTAAGAGTTTCTTCTTTTCAGCAAGAGCATCATTATCTTCTTTAGAGTTTGCTGTTGCTTTTGCTCTTTCTTCAGCAATTTGAACTTCAAGAATTATTTCTTGTCTTTTGAGTTGCAATGTCTGTTGTTCAACTTGATGTGCTTCATCTAAGAACTTTCTTCTTTCTTTAGCATTGTATGTTTCAGTATCAGATGCTTTTTCTCTTAACTCTGCTGCTTTTGCTTCTAGTTTTGCAATCTCAACTAAATTCTTTCTCTTAAGGTCTGTTAATTGATGTTCTTGATTAATAAGAATCTTTTGTCTAGCAATATTATCCTCATAAGCCTTTTTAGATTCTTTTGCCCATTTTTGCAATGATTCAATATTGAATGCTTTACCAATTGCTTCTGCTAAATCATAGAATCTAAGAGTTATCTTATTAACCCAATTTGCAATTGTTTCAATAACTGGAACAATACTATCAACTAAGAATGAACCAATTCCTTCAATAACATTACTGATTGCATCAAATAATGGTTGAAGTTTTGCAGTTGCTTGCTCCCATTTTCTAGTTGTTTCTTCATTACCACCAATTGCTTTCTTAATGGCATTTACAGTTGCTAGAATTGCAGTTAAAGCAAGTGCAAGTGCTGCAAGAAATGGATTGGTTGCTAAAGTTTTCAAAGCAGAACCAACACCTTTTGTTGCAGTAGTAACACCTTGAATCTGTGTAGTAAGATTCTTTGCACTTTTACCCATATTGCCATAAGCAGCAATAAAGGAATTAGCATAGTTACCAACATTTCTAGAGAATACACCTTGGGATGCTTCAACATCTTTCAGTTTATTATTAACTTCAAGAATCTGTTTGCTAACTTCTTTGAACTTGCTTGAATCAATATCTATTTTACCTTTAATTGAATTAAGGTCTTTCAATTTCTGTTTAAGACCATCCATTGAATTAGAATATTGATTTGCTTCAAGTCTTGCTTGTGCTTCATCTTGTGCTAATGAATTAAAAGCATCCTTACCAGTTGATTTAACTTGTTTTATCTTAGTTTCAACTGCTGCAATTTGTTCATTATATTCTTGGAATTGTGAACTATCTATATCAACTTTTAACTGAGTTGCTTTAAGTTGTTTTAATTTCTTCTGTAAGTCTGCAAGTGTATTATCAAAATCATCTGTTGCCTTATCAGCACCTTTAACAGAATCCTTTAACTTATCAACTTCTTCAGAATATTTACTTAAGTCAACAGTATATGATTTTATATTTTCCATTTAACTTAATATTTTAATATTATATAAAAATGAAAGCAAGTGTGTTGAACTTGCTTTCATTGAATATTATAATGTTATATCACCATCTGAACAATGTACTTTTTCAAATTTACAATAGATATTCCAATCATTGCCTAATGTAATTTCATTCCATTCTGACATTGTACCAGCATAATTGAATGTAACTATCTTATCACAGAAATCAAATGCTGAACCACCAATTTCTTTAACTGATTTTGGTATTGTAATTGAAACTAATGCTCTATCTAACATAAATGCACCATTTCCAATATATTCAACATTCTCACCAATTGAACAAGATGCCATAGCATTACAGAAACTAAGTGCTAATCTTCCAATTCTCTTAACTGATGGTGGGATAACTAATTTATTCAATGCTGTACAAGCAGCAAAAACTTCTTCACCAATTATTTCAACATTACCCAAATCAACATTTGCTAATGCTGGACATACATAGAATGCTTTATTACCAATTTCTTTAACTGATGGTGGCAAACTAACACTCACAATGCCAGTTTCAGAACAAAGTTTATCTGGA